GGGAAAGAGATCGGAACCTGGAATGTGAGATTCTTGCGGAGAAGCGCGTTTGCTTGAGTCCAGAAGCTGGGATTTGCCATTTGTGTTTCGATGGAGGCAAAGCAAATTCCTACAATCTTAACCGTTACTTTACACTCTACACTGCATGCGGTGCTGAGCTGAGTTGCATTCTGGTTGTCAATTAAATTTTCATTTTTACATTCGACAAGTATTTTTTATTACAAGCGAAAAGAAAAAAATAAAATAATAAATTTGTTTATGGTAGTTTATACGATTATTAAAAATTGTGTTTAATTATTAAAGATGGAGAAGATTAACCTTAAGCGTGTGGTTCAGCGGTAGGGGTTGATACACGCTTAAGCAAGGTTTGAATCCTGTCTTGTGTATGCAGTCGCGTTAAATCTTGGGACCAGCTATCCTACCCTTTGAGGTGTCTCCAACGTAGCGAGGAGATTAGTCATTGCTATCGGCAGTGCAGGAAAAAAAAAAGATGGAGAAGATTAAATTGAATATTTAATAAGAGAATTTATTTTATTTTTTTAAAAATAAGAAAGATTACAGGATTGAACATAGGTTCTCGTATTTCTAACTATTCTAATTCTTCCCTGCCCAATTCCTAGATTAATTCTAAAGATCTTAAAAGAATCTATTTTATTAATTAAAATATTAATATAGATGAATAAATCGTGCAATTTACATGATAAGCTATTACCGTATTTTAAATTATTAAAATTTATGATAGATAAATATTTTTAATATGTAAATTATATTATAATTACATAATTAATAATAAATATTTTATTATATAAATTATGTTTTAAATTTAATTACAAATGATTATAGTGTGATATGAGATTTTTTTTATTATTATTAAAAATATTAAAGCTTAATTTAAAATATAAGTTTCAAATTGAACGAGATAAGATATTAAAAAATCATTTTAGAAAACTCTGCCAGAAAAATTCCTCCGTACATTAGCACTAAATATGGTCTGTTTTGACATTTATGGATCAAACGATATAATAGGCAAAAATAAACTAAATATGAGTATTTCTAAAACTAAATATGTATTATATATAAAAAAAAAAAAACATATAATTTCAATAAAAATAATACATTTTTTCACAATATGAACAAGATTTTAACAATTCTTTTAAAATGTGTATTCATTTTTTTTCTTTTAAAAACTCTTATAATATTTTTTATCATCAACAACATTCTCTAAAAAAATTCACTTTCCATATCAGCTAAAGACTAAAACAAAAACAGCTTTTAGGCAATATAATTAATTAATTATTATTATTATTTTATATAAAAAAAGATTTGTTTTGTTTGGAGTAGTTAATTACTCACTGTTACCAGCAGATTCAAACATATTGAATAAAAAAAATCTAAATTATACGTTTAATCTTTATATAATATCTGATCGACAGATTTCTTTATTATTTTTTTACTGTGGTATTACATGAATATCTAATGATTTTGTTGGAAAATAGTCTCCTCAACTTTGATTATATTATAGTTATTCCTTTCAATATTGTTTTTTTTTATTTTATCAAATCTTGATCTACATATTTGATTCTCAATTTTTAATTACAAAATTTATCCTCTCATTAAATATTCATTTACATTAATATTAGTTATAATTTGACATTAATTTAATGACATGATAATTAATATTTAAGTTGAATTATACTTTTACTTTTAATTTTAACTATCATTAGTTATAGTTAGTTAAGTGTATAAATGAATAAATAAATATTAAAAATATATCATATAACAATGGTAACAAATAATATTTTTAATTAAAGTAATTAAATTATTTTTGTATGTATAATTTAATTAGATTCAAAACTCTCACATCGTCATTATAATTCTAATACATAAAAGAAATACAAAATTTAATTAAGTAATATATTAATTATTTTATATGAATTGAGTAGCTACATATGAATTGTTTTCATAATTTACTTTTTAATTTTTAATAAAGTATGAAAGTTGTTTTCATTGATTTTAATATTGTTGTTATTTTGAAAGTCACTAATTTAGTTTTAACATTATACTTTTAATATATAAGCCTTAAATTGCGCATTGAGTCGGCATTCGCGTAACCTTTTGCAAATATATATATATATATATAATTTATTTATTTTTTAAACACTTATAATTTATTATTAGTGCATTAATTTTTGTCTTTGGAGACAAAATCATTATTTGTGTATTAAAAATAGATAAACTATATTACATAACATTAAAAGGTATATTAAAAGTACATTATAAGATTCCAAGTAAATTATAATATTATAAAACGTACATGTTAACAATTAATTAATTAATTAAAAAATAAGAACTTAGGCATGACAATCTAACTCGTCCCCGTGGGTACCCGCCCGAACCCGCCCCGATTTGGACGGGGAAAACCCGTGTTTATCGGGTTCGGGTTCGGGTTCGGGTTTTCCCCGATTGATAAAATCGGGGGCGGGGGCGGGGACGGGGATGTTAATACCCACCCCGCCCCCGCACCC